TAAAATTCAACTACTATATTTCCCTAAAAATCAAATAATACCGGTTTTATATATTTCCGTATTAAACCTGTAGTCAATTCATGTTCCAGGGCCACTTGGTTTAGCCGTGCATTATCAGCCAATATACCATGGATTGCATATGCAAATTTTGTGTTTGGACCAATCAAATCAATGGATTAACACCATCAATATACTGGTATAATATAATAATGCATATGCTGCATGTTGAATCATGAACTAATCCCTCCTTCCAATTTTTTGGGATAGATTGGTGTGCTGACGTCTTTTTTGGCAAAGATTTTAGATGTTTAGATTAAATTGATTATTATTTGAATTTATCATTACTAATGCTTGTCTTTGTTTTTGCACGAATCAGTCTGGTATTTTAGGGATGTAAACAGTTTAATACAGGATTATTTAATGTAATTTTTGGGATGACAGTTTTATTGGGAGTTTGATCAGGTTTTTATGCTGAATTAATTGTACAATTCATGGTTTGACTTTTTTTGTTATTTTGAGTAAATGCTATACATACAACATGTCTTCTGCTTTTTATGGTGCTGTATAACAACTCAGGTATATTAAATAATTTATTGTGAGTACTCACTTTCCTTTGCAGCAGTGTAGATAGTCCCGGGTAACTTAGGATGTGGTTTATCAGTCTTTGCAGCTATCACAATATTAGCTCCATCTCTAGCAGCTTTCAAAGCTATGGCTTTACCAATTCCACGACTTGCACCGGTGATAAAGATCGTCCTGCCAGCTAGTTTTCTGTACAAAAAACAGGAATTGCAAACAAGATATTAGAAGATATTTAATTTTATATTAAAATACCAGTTCTTTTAACTGTACGTCATGAAGGATCTTTATTAAACAAATCCCATCGTATTTTAATTATTAATTGTGCAAGAAATTAAAAATAATTTGAGTAATTAACTTCACAACATCAGGATATGTCATCAAGTGGCCACTGATCATTTGCATATGCAAATCAATCAGGAAAGCCTTTTTATCATTCTTGCAATTAATACAAATGACAGGTCATACATATAGTTGTGTTGGAATGAACAGCAATCTGATTAAAATAATAATATTGATTGAGATAATTCTGATCAGAATGACCGGCAAACAAAAAAAAAAAAAAAATCATTCATAATTGAGACTGAATAAAAATAAAATTGACAATAGATCTCATGGTGAATAATCAATTCATACTACTTTCATTTCTGTGTTTACAAAGATGTTTAAGAAATTTTCGTACCTCTTTAAAAACAATGTCCCCCTACTCATAATTCATATTAAACCCCCTGAGAGAAAGCAATTTGTTAGTGTTTGGCCTTCATCGATATTCAAGACTATTTTGATCAAATCAGAGTAAAAATGATATCTTAAGTGGAATGTTGCATTGCATAAAAATAGGAAATGATAATTTAATTATAAATATAATAATAATAATCTATATAGAACTCATATCGTCATTACCATTTGATTACATGACAATAAAGATAAGAAACACAAAATCACGACAGAACAAGCTCTATAGAATGAGAATTACTTAATTTTTGTGATATGGGTTGATGTCTGAATTTCATATTCTTCTCCCTTTGTTTGAAACAGTTATCAATGAATTTAACTGATCTGTGTTTTTCTGATTTGTTTGTTAGTAAAGTAATCAGTTTATCTTGGTCTGTCTCATTTCTTTTGCATACTTAGATTGTTCACAGTCCCTCAACACCCGGTTAGGAAACGCTATTGTTCTATACGCGTGAATCGACGGTTGCGTCTGGGGGATGCGTGTTTCGCTCTTCCTGCGAGACAATGACGTCATAGTACTGTTGCGTTCTTACGTAAACGTCAGACCGTACTCT